GGGTGAAAATCACATGACTGCCAAGCCTGTTTTAAGACGCCCGACCGAAAAATTAACCTCAGGTCATCTGCAACCACCTTCTTGTCTGGTTTAGACAGTAGCCGCCTCGTCGGCCTGCCTACTTTCTGCCTTTCCCACTGCTTTGTCCACTCCGTACGCAAGCGTTGGCGGATATCCATTTTTGCTGCAGCTGCGAGCCGTATAATCGGTCGATCCCGCGGCCATTACTAGCACTACCTAACCAGCGTACTGCTTGTGTAATAGGCCCTACTAACCTAGCTCAGTTCCCACCATATACTTTGAAACTCTGAAGCGGTACGCTGTACCTATTCAGGTAATAAATAGTTCGGTCTTGGTGTAGGCCTTGCCTTTAACACATCCGGCAACTACTATCCTGCTAGGCTTAACAGCTTCCATTACTCCAGAGAGTACTTAGGCTTTGTTCTATCCCTCGCTGAGGCAGGGTTTTCTGCCTCAATCCCAGAGCTAGCTGAACTCGAGGGTGCCCTGTCACTCCACTACAACAGCTTTGTGTCGGGTGGTTCTCATATCCCAGTATCCCTCTAGCGATCACTGACTCCTTTCGGAACACCTAGGCCCCCTTTTGATAGATATTCAAAAGGTTTCTCGCATTGCCTCAAACCAGGTTTTCAAAAGGTCACCCCGCGGGGAGGATTTAAGCATATATTTTACATCCCTTGCCTGGATGGTGCGCTGATGATTCCTGATCAAAATGTAGGATATGCATTCAACGAAGAAACTAAGCTAGGTTGTGAAGCTATTCAGGAACCGGTCACAATATGTGTGGGCCAGCTCTGAAGCTAGTCCCGATCGGGTAGTTAGGTCATAGTGTTGCGAAGGAAGGTCTTCGGAGGCAGGTCACAGTCCGTGACAATTACTAGAAGAAAGATTCCTGACAATTTATGTTACTTAGCTGCAGACAATGAGTCAAACAAACAAGCTTACATATCACAAGTGAAGTGTGTTTGGCCTAACGAGGCCCAACACCTAACGAGACCCAACAAAGCCCATGAGGGCCCATGAATAGCCCAAAAAAGCCCACGAAAAGCCCACAAGAGCCCACTAATAGCAGATAAAGCCCATGAATAGCCTACGAGAGCCCACTTATAGCCCATTCCCGGCTCAACTTGATCTTAGATACTCTCGAAATATTTCACCCGGTCGGATACAGAAATAGAATACTAGTAAAAAAAGCTGAATTCTTTCAAATTAACTTCTTTATACTATTGTTTAGGATTAGAATTCTAAAAGAGAGGAAATAGGCTTTTATTTCATGTAAAATGTAAATGAATTAGACTAAGCAGGAATAATTTACTTTTTACTTCTATCTCTTGTCAAGAAGATGTATACACTCTCTTGTAATTAAAATATATATCTTGATAAGTTTATATTGATTTTATCTATAAACTACCCATACACTACTATAATAATCAGAATATGAAATTTTTATGAGTAAATAACTTAGAATAAGCCATGTTTTCTTTGATTTCAAGATGATTTCTTAAAGTTTCCTACTGTTTTAGGCAAGGTTATAAAGAAGCTCAGTCGACAAACTAGAACAGGTGTAAAAAATGGTATTTTATCTTGATTATTTAGCAGCTTTATGAACGCCAAGACCAAGATTTTATGCAAAAATGGGCTTTTGCAGGGGTCCATTGGGGGCCCATCGTGGACCTGATGGTTGGGCTTGGGCCTGAAATCTGGGCCATCAGCCCACAGTGGGTTGGGCCTTGGGCCCGAGATTCAGGCCCATTTGTGGGCTCTGATGAAGTCTATTGACCTTCATTTCTTGGTTCTCATATAAGGTCATGAACCCCTCCACAAAACCCTTCCTCACTGGTCATCGGTGCTAGTGATGGATGCATGAACACGCATTCATTATCAGTTCGCTCCCACGACATAGCTCTCACCACTTGCCGAGTCTCTTTACAAGTACGATGCCAGTCCCCCGCAAGTATCAACAGTCTCGTAATTTGTTCCGAATCTTTTCAACTCCGGAATGATCCGGTAGTAAAAGTTGGCCGAATGTCCAGTCTCAGCAAAACCGATGAAATCATCCATCTTGTGGTTGGCGTTGTCCGCATAGACAGCCCATGTAGCAGCCCCCGCCAGTGCCATAGACTTTTGATGGGCGTGAGTGAGTTTCGATCCCTGCCTGGTAGTGAACGAAATCTTGAACCCAGGTCTGTCGAATCGCTTCTTCAAACCAGATCCTTCAGTGCCATTCGCACCAGAATCCCCTCCCGCAAGGGGAAGTTGAAGAACGGTCTCGCCATTTTCATAGTGATTGGCGATAATATCGTGCTTCGGAGAGTCCTTAAGGGCGAAACCAGTAACCTGGAATCTGTGGGTCGGTAAAAATTCATCCTCACATTTATCCAAGGAAAGATCATTTCGGGAAATCGGGAGAGAAGCGAGATTTTCGTAGGAGATATCGTCATTACTCGACAGCATAGTCTCCCACAGCCGGGAATAACCCTGGGAAACATCGACGTCACGCTTGCTCGGTAGACCTTCGGGGATGGATCCAGAGTAGTGGGCAGCAGCGACATAGGCCAAGAGTAGACCGTCTGAAATGACATAAGATACTTCCTCACATCTACTGCCACCGGCATATTCACACACTTGTCGAGAAAGATGTGAGCCGATTACGATATACACAACCCTAGAAATCATTAGTCTCTGAAAAATTATTGGGGAAGAAGAGGAGAGCATGCGCCATACGTAAGCTTGCTGGTACCAATAGAACGAATCGTTTGATCAAGTATCTCACAGACTCTAGTCGCCCTCTGCTCTAGAATTGCCAGCGGCTCGTCAGCCGGATTAGAAGATCGGATTTCAGGACTGGTATCCGAAGGAAGTTCAGCAACATCCACAATTGGAGTGGGTGCTGCTAAAGTAACTTGACTTGTAGTCAAAAGGGAGAGAAGGAAGATTGAGAGCTTCATGTTGATGCTTCAGGATGGTTGTGCGACTGAGGAGGTCATTTTTGGGGGTTCGCTATGCCATATTTATAGCCGTATGTCGGTGTTTAGCGTTGGACGATTCTCCAAAGAACGTACCCGACTTTCTATTGTATGATTTGCACATGAGACATAATATTATGGCTATCCACAGCAGGATGGACTATTGAACTTAATGTTATCAGTACGTAAAATCCCTGTCTCCAATGTGGATGTGACGAACTGACCAAGAACCACTATATAGAGTGATGCGCGTACCAAGTCGTTGACTTGGTATTCTGGTCTTTTTAGTAGCTCAGTCGGTAACGACCTACTAAAACGGTCTTGGCGGGTAGAAGCGCACCTACCCACTGCCAAGCCCGTAACAGTGGAGACGGGAAGGAACCGTTGATAGTGGAAGGGGGGTTAGAGTTTGCTTTGTACATAAATACCTCGCGTAGCCAGGACAGTGGTCTTCTCATTATCTGCCATTTAGTACACACAGCATATTCTTCCTTTCCTCGAGCGGTGCTGATATATTCTACTATCGGATAAAACAAAATGGGTACCAATGAAATAACTACCACATCAATTTCTCACTCTTCCTCCTCACCACCGCCTTCGCGAACCGTTACTATTCTTCGGAATATTGTTCAAAGTCCGTGGACGTAAGTGTGGTCCCATATATGAATCATCTAAGATGTAACTAACCTTTTAGCTTGCCTTATATCGCACTGGTTACTCCACTTGTGCGAGGTTTTTGGAATTACATGGGATGGAGTAACGGAGGAGAGGTGTCCCTATCGCTAAGTCACGGACTGTTAATACTGTACTTTATTATATCACAGTATGTTCGCAGGTACGGATGATAGATTATAGAAGGCAACAATTTACTATACCGAATAACAAAATTCATCTACCTAGCTTAATTATCTGTGCCGTAAAGGAACTCCAGTATGTTGTGTGTGAGATCCTTGCCCGGCCGAGTTCGCTAAAAGTCAGCAAAACAGGGTTCATAGTCTACCTACATCACTTGTCATCGCTACCTGCCCAGTTGTTAACCGAACTTCTAACACCCACAAAGATTATGATCACCTAACTGAGCTATATCAATGTTATGGCTTCAAATGACAGTCAGCGAATGGCTACTCGCCAAAAGCAACTCAATTATTTCCTTCTCAATGATAAATATGATAAAGAATCCTTATTTATAGATCGCATGCCAGATTTTCCAGATCCAAATTCAAATCCAGTTCCAGTTCCAGATACCAGATCCCTAATTGAACCTCCCTCCTCCGAGATTCTACCATCTGAATCAATTTTACTAATTCTAGCAGAATCAAGCTGCTCAACTTTATACCCTCAAAAACGACACCATCCAGCTCCAGTCACAAAATGGATGTGGGGTTATTTCCAGATTACTGAAGTTAATCAAAAGTGGGTTAACAAAAAGACAAAGAAACAGGAGCTGAAAGACCGACATATACAATGCGCCTCTATTGAGAGTAAAACTGGAGTATAATGTAGCTGGAGTACTTCAGATTCATTGAGACAGACTTCAACTACCAACATGAAACGACATCTAGAAAAGCACAGGATATTTTTACCTGAATTCTAGTGTACAGTCTCCGATAGGAAAGAACAGCCCACTATAAAAGATTATATAGCTAAAACTGAGAATCTTTTATACTAACAATTACTGGAAAGGAAAATCCTTCGGTAGATTATTCAGGAAAAACTTGCTTTTAGAACAATTGAATCACCTGCCTTCCATCAGATATTCTATGATATTCTAGGAATCTCATTCCCACCTCTATCACGATTTACATTACGTCAGAGACTTATGGATGAATTTCAAATACAGCGACTGCAATTAAAGGAGGAACTTGCAGTTACTTGCAAATCAATTGCTTTATCCTTAGATATTTGGACCAGCAAAAATCATCTACCAATCCTCGGCATCATTGGCCACTGGCTTACAGAGGATTTCAGATACCAGGAGAGGGTATTAGAGTTCACTGGATTACACGGGATTCATAGTGGAGAAAATTTGGCAATCGCTATTCATTTTACTCTCCGTGAGTTGAATCTTGAAGCTAAATTGACAACAATTACCGGAGATAATGCTAGTAATAATGAAGCCATAGCTTCAGAGTTATATCATGCATTAAAAGATTCACTTCTGTCTGAATCAATGATCCAATTCTAAGTGTCGGTTGACTTGGTCATTGCCCTAAGCAGATATCCTATCGATTCAACGGAATGTAGGTATATGTTCGGTGGGTAAAAGTGAAGTTTCATTCTAAACTACTAGCTGCCCATGCCAAGGAATTATATGACTTAGGCATATCAGCTGAATAATGGTTCCAACACTGGGCCTACTTTAAAAGTGGTAAAAACGTAAAGGGCAAGATATCAAAAACAAAGCGTGCAGTTCCAGAATCCAAAATTCATCCCATTTCCCGGTACTCAGGTGTTGCTGAATTCGAGCGTTCAACCTAACCAATAGCTTGCAAGTCGATGCGATTCGTATCTATGAGTTGTCTTAAGGCGTTACAAGGCTTGCTTTTTGTCATTACATCGGCAGGGTTAGAATATCTATTGATCCATTTGATATCTGTAATTTGGCGGCATTTATAGGCTTGTCGGAAGCACATAACATCAATAATTAAGCGTTTCTCTTGCGTGGATCCGAGCCGTACGAGGCAATCGTATAATGACTTCGAGTCAGTGCAGAGTACGATTGGGATGTTAGCTTGCAGTATTTAATCTAAAGTTAACTTTATTGCGAATGCAGTATCTGAACCGTGAGCCATGGCGTAGAGCTCTGATGCTAAAACACTGCGGGTGACACGCTTGCATTTGATAGAACTCCAATGAACAATGTTGGCATTCGCGGCAGTAGCGTTGCTGGCATTTCTCTTGTCAGCTAGTACGATAATATAGCCAATTTAAGAAGAGAGATCTTTATTGTTGGCGAATGATGCGTCTGTAAAGACTAGCAGTTAAAAGGATTCCAGGTCCAGTTTAACATATTTAAGGCCTCTGGCGGCGTTCTCTAGCTGCCAGTTAAGTCGCTTGTTAAGGGATTCAGCGTCTTCCTTGCTTGGGTTAATCACTTGGGCAGCAAATGATAAGTCGAATGAAGCTTCTGGCTGGCAGACAGAGGCAATATAGGTACCTCTTGCGCGTTCTGCAATATATCGATCCTTTAGGGTGCCTGATGCCTGAGCGGTTGTTTTGCCAATAGATAACAGTTTGATGCATTGAGTCTCCTGGGTAAGAGTAATCCTATCAGGTTCTAACTTGATCATGCTGCCATTGAACTTCAAGGGTTTTTCAATGGTCAACTTCTCGCGGTTTTTAGCCAGAAATTGAGCCTTCTGTAATTTATTTCCTCAGATTCAGCGAATGTGGCATCTGCGAGAATGAGGGTATCATCAGTTTAAAGTCCAATGATGCCGAAATCAGTGGATTCCCTTGAATTAGGGCTATCCATAGTGTAGAGTAGGCATGGATCGAATGTTGATTGGCTTATCCGGAGGTATTCTAAGTGATAAGAATGATAGATTTTAAACCAATGATTCCCTGTTTCAGGGATTCCATAGAGAGGTTTTGTAACGAACGGCTACGCTGGCAATAAGAAATCGCGAAAATGTAGGATATGCATTCAACGAAGAAACTAAGCTACGTTGTGAAGCTAGTCCCGATCGGGTAGTTAGGTCATAGGGTATCGCGAAGGAAGGTCTTCGGAGGCAGGTCACAGCTCGTGACAGATAGTGAGGAGGGGGCGGTAATCTGATGTAGCATTTGAATAGCTTGCGATCCTAGTACTTGCTCCAGCGAGAGCAAGGGTACTAAATGTAAAAGCTAGATCGAAGGTATTGCCTTTGTCATGTATAAGGGTATCTATCTCAGAGATAAATAGTGGTCCAGATCTGTTGAGCCATTCGGATACTAGTTCGGCTAAAGTAGAGGGGTCTCGCTGAAACGAGAGCTGCCATCTGCTGTATAGTAAATTGAAATTACCTGCTAGTAAGATTGGTTAGGTAAAGTAGGAGTCAGGAAATTTTATAAATTCCTGAACGGCCCTGCTAGGCCTGATCGAGAATCCAGGAATGAGAGCATTGTAGATATTAAAGATCAGGGTAGATTGCCCTGAGCATGCATAAATTTAGAGAAAGAGAAAATCTAATAGTACTTTTTGATCGATTGTATTAGAGCAGAGCTAAAAGGACTGTATACCCTTTTTTTTTTCGGATATAGATAAAGACTCTAGGTCGGCCGTTTATTATCCAGCTGTCAGTTAAGAAAAAGTATTCATATAAGGGGTATCTTTTGGTAATCTTACGGGTAAGTTCCTTATATATATAAGGTTCTTGTATCAAGATAATGTCAATATTATTAGAGAATGCCTAAGATAGGGTAATTTTATGAGCTGTAATGTCGCGGCCTACATTTAACTGGAATATTGAGAGAGAATTTGTCTGGTAGTTCTGAAATCTTATAGTTTTTTATTCGTTAGAATTCCAAACTGATTTAGCAGTGGTAATGTGGTAAAACGAACTGCCTTAACTGTAACTGGAGGGGAGTCTGCTAGTCCTTGTGAAAGGGGAGTAACTGGACGGGATAAAGATATTGTAAGATTGCTGTCGATAGTTATATCTTAATCCTGCGAGACCTCAGGGTTTACAGGGCCTGCGGGAGGCTGGAAGCAGCATTTACTCTCAATCCGTACCTTAGAGAGGGATAAGAAGCAGATCTTACGGGTCTCAGCCTGGTGGGCCTTTGTGAAACGAGAACCTGGCTTGCTGGGCCGGAGAAAGCATTGGTTATAGTCTGCTGGGTAAGGACTATAGCAGTGTAAATATCTTAGGGGGCAAGTATAAGGAGCTGCAACAGTGCAGTAATTGATATAGCCTTTCTCAGTATGTTATATGGAGCCACAGAGATAGCAGCGAGAGTTACGTGCGCAAGATCTAGAGTTATATCACTTCCAGCAAAGATTGTATTTGTATCTGAGGCACTAGCAGCAGTTTCAGTTATACTGACTGGAGCAAAACTAGTAGCTTCAATTACTTCAGCTGTATCTCCGGGTTAACAGAGATTATAGAGTATTAGCTTGCATTGAGCTAGCTAACCTTTCTTGGTATATTTGTTACCCGGTACGAGATCCAGCGGGAGTTTCGCTCGATCTAGCAGGTAGTAAAGAAGGTAGCGATAGCCTCTTTCTGAGCCTCTAGGGCTGCAAGAGTTCCAGGGGATAGAGGCAGGAGGGCAAACTCTATCTTAATAGACTGGACCCCCTTGAGTACCTTGTTATTGGTACCTAGATGGGAACGGAGGCTGGTATAAATAGCGCATGCGTCTATATTTTTAGTAATGTAGTTCAGAAAGAGGCGTACAAAGAGGCGGGAGTCAGGCTGCTGATTCAAGCTAGAGATTGTAGTCTTTAGTTTGGTACTGGGTTCAGGTACGTCAGGGCCTTTGGCCTTAGTTGTTTGAACAGCTGTTGCGTACGTCGACTGAGCAAGACCAGAGAGGGGGCGAGATGGGGGGGGAGAAGGGGGTAAAGAAGCAAGGGCAGCAAGGGCAGGGGCAGGAACAGGGGCAGGGAGGGTCGCAGTCAAGATCAAAGGAATACTGCTAATATAGGCGTTGAAGTGTTGTTGAGCTATATTAGCCAGGTCGTTACTGAGCGCGTCGAGTGCACCTCGCTGGTTGGGAGAAAGGCTTAACTGAGGCTTAACTGGTTCCGATGCTTGTCAAGGAAGGCTGCTATCGGGCTGAAGATCCTCTGGCCTTCAGCAACCCTAGTAGAGGCTGCTGTAGTTGTCTCTAGTAGAGCAGCTTGTAGAGGTCCGTCTGGTTGGGAGTTGTGTGTTGCCATCGTAGCGACACGTGTCCCGTAGCGGTCAGGTTGGGTGAGGCTGGCCGTGGACGGGCGTCCCTGATCCCGGGCACGGTGCCCGGAATGAGGATTTAGATATGAGTATTCGAAAGAGCTCTTGTAAATCTATTCTAAGCGCGGTGCTTAGAATCAGTTCGTGTGTTGAGGGTATGCCTGTGTGCGTTCCTCGATAAGTTGGAGTTTGTCAGAGGTCATGGTAATGTGGGGTCACGTGGTAAGAGAGTAAGTATCTATGGCAGAAATATGTGGGTCTACCGAAGAAGTGATTATTCAACTGATCAGTTAGGTCCAGAGAACACTGCTAGATACTGGTAGCCATAGACTCAGGTGCCAGATTACACTGGGTCCGGGGACTGCTGGGGGCTGAGGTGCTCCGTAGCCCTGCTCTTTTCCGGTCTCGGTTGATCACAGTGAACGAGGGAGAGCTCGGAGTGGCTGGTTCTTGGTTACTTGTCTGTCGAGGGCTCTTATCTTGCTGAGGTAGTTCCTTTTGCTCGCTATTCCTCTTTTTTAGCTCCTTTCTCACTGCTCGTTTGGCTGGACAGTTACTCGCTGTTGCCGGATGTGGACCGCTGCAGGCACCACATCTGGCTGGAATGTGCTTGCAAGCAGTCCCTGGCTTCGCTGGGCAGTCTACTACCCGACAGACGTGTTCCGTGCCTTCATGAGGGCCTGCACATATAAAATAACATGGCGGGCGGCCTCCGCAGGCCTTAAAACTGCGGTAGCCCAGCTGGCAGCATCGGCGGCAGACTGTATCAGCTCCCGTTTCCCAGTACTGCTCTGTCCTGTATCTAGACCCTCCAAAACGAATGCCGTTAACTAGGAGCCTGCGGGCCTCGTCTAGTGAGCCCACTGTAAGAACAATAGTTGAGCCCTTTCGGTCACTGCTCTGCAGGTCTTTTAAGCTTCGGAGCCATGTTGGGTTCCTTTTCAGGTGATACTCAGTGCCTAGTTCAATCTTCGCACGAGCCAGACTCAGGCCGCAGCTGAGGTATCGTCTGATTGGGACTCCGTAGACTTTGACACGGTACCATTGCTCTGGCTGCTCAATAGATATTACAAATGGGTCTGCCTGTCGAGCTGCAGTAACCAACAGGTCTTTATAACTGGGTAGCAACATGGAGCTCAAGGTACCTTTATCTAGGAGAATCGTGATTGCTCCTGTATTTATGTACCCTGCGTCCACAGCTCGGATAAATGTTAGAAGGCCTTTGTCTGCTACCGCTCGATTGATAGCCAATATTATATCCTCCTTTTCAGATCTTGGAGCGTCCTTACTACCCTCCCGGCGGAACAGTAGTTTCCGTGCTTCCTTTGGGCAGTTCTTGGCTGGCTGAAGTTTGGTTGGGTCAGGCCGGCCACTTGCTAGGGCTGCTCTAGCTTGTTGGTATTTTTGCTTCTTCTTTTTCTGAGTGATTTCCTGCCATTCCTGTCCTTCTGGCTTCGTGGAGAGCAGAGCAGCCAGATCTGCGAAAGTTGGTTTCTGTCTTGGTATCTGATTCAAGATTCCTCTAGCCTTGGGAACTTGGTTCTGGTTGTGTTGACCTGCTCGGGGGCCTTGGGTGCTGATTACCGGGGTATTCTGCCTTTGCGATTCAAGCTGTTGAATAGTACGTTTGGCATCTGTGAGCTCTGTACGGAGCTTGCTAACTTCCAATTCCAGTCCGGTAATTCGCTCTTGATAGAGGCCGTCATGGATCTGCTGCTCTGCTTTCCAGTCGGATATTTCCTTTGCCAGTTGTGTTTGTAATTGCTCCCAAATAGTTTGGTACGCATCTTGTTGCCGGTTCTGGGCCGTCTCTAGAGCCCCTGCGAACACCTGAGCCTGTGCGTTTACATTCGGCAGGGGTATTTGATGTCTTAGTCTGCCTGTTGAGGCCCTGTAGGATGATTTCCTTTGCCTGATTCCACTCCGGGCCTCGCTGGCCCGGCTGAGGGTCCTGCTGAGTCCCTCGGGTCTCCAAAGCCTCTGGTTTCCAACTTCATCCATTCGCGTGGTTCCCACGCTGGAATCGCTAGTTATAGGTTGCATTATGTCCCCTGATCGCCAGCGGCTCGGTATTGGGGTGTCTGGCATCTCTAATGTTTCCGCGTTCTGGGAGGCCACGTTGCCCACTCGGGGGGGGTGATGCGTGCGAAATACCACCACCACAGGGTTTCAGAGCCTCCATGGTGGTTAGTAGGGGCCAGGAGGCCTCTATAGATCGATTGACGCGTTAAAAAAACGTGATTTTTGTAGGTGCTGGTTTTGGTGTTCCTCGACCGCCTTCTACCCCTGTCAATCTCCGTTGATGATATCGTCCGCAGCAAACTGTACAAAAGCCTCTTGATGGTGTTGCTATTATCTTGCCACGTCAGCGGTCGGTGTCTTCGGAGGTGTTGGAGGTTATGGTCATGTTAAGGAAAGATTGTATAGAGGCTTTAGAACTTGATCCGATGTGGCAGACTCTTGGATCGGCGGGTGTTGATGTGGATCCTGTTGGTCGATTGTGATATTCTTAGTCGGGATAATGTATGTACGCGTAGAATGTCTTTCGTCAAGTGATTCACTTGAGGGTTCTTTGGGTATCATGTATTCCGAAGAAATTTTATCAATGTTCGTTATACTTGTTTGTCTTACGGATGTCCTTGAAGTTAGCCGGGTGTTACATATAGGTGAACAGATACATAATGCCGTTCGGAGCATTAGATGTATAGAGACACCATTAGACAGTGTTAATATAGATCGCATTTAGAGATATAATAAACTTATAAATCCCCGGCTTCCAAATAGGCCCATTAGTAGCATTGTTATGGGTGAACGAAAAGGTATTCCGCGAATGACAAACAATTCAACAAGTATCTGAATGAATATATTTATTGTGTACAGCGAAGAGCACTCTAGGTTGAATGATCATTGTGGAAATGGTGATGTCTGAGGTTGCAATGCAGCAAGTACATCATTGCTCGGTTACTTCTATATACACAACACCAGGAAGAACCAATTATGCCGCCAAAGCTTCTGTGTTGGTCGATTCCATCATACAAGCTACTTAGCTATATCTATTCATTGGCTCGATATAACAATCACATGCATTAACATAGCAACATAACATTTTAAAAAAACCATAGCACTTAATCACCGCCTACATTTACATCAGTGATATATACTTATATTCTAACCCGTAGCCTCCCAATCAAACCAACAGATTCTAGATATATAATTTCCCAGAACACTCTAAAAGACATGACACCTTCAATCCATCCAACCAACCATCCAGTCATTAACAAACTCCATCGAGCCTGACTCGACCACCCATCGATAAGCTTTATCAAAACCACGGACCGCTTCAACACGATCACCCAAACCAGCCAATCTATACACCGCGCCAAGACCGCGGAATCGACCGACCCAAACCCAAAGAAAAACTTGCCACCACCAAAAGTCAAGTCCGCGATTTTCAGGATCGGAAGTCTCCCTTCTTTTTTTTCGTGATTAACTTATTGCTTCGCGCGTGGGTTTATTTTCGGGTTTTATTTCCTTCTGAATTTTTGAGTTGTTGTATAGATCGAACACTTTACCTACCTCACCTAGTTACTTCTTAGGTAGAGGTAAAGAGAGAATCATCCATGCATCGATTCGTATGTACATATCTACGACGGAATTACGGATCTCGTGAACGATACCTAATATGCAAAGAAAACGTACGCATAAAATTGCCAGCCTAAGATAGGCTAGGTAAGGCAGCTCAGCCACACCTTCCACGAGACGAAAATACGATACAAAATTACACGACAGGATCGGATCCTTCATTCATCCCTGTCTCACGCCTAGTCAGTCTGACTCTGCACACATCTTACTTCCGAGTCCGACACACGGTGGTCCTGTCTTTCGGAGCTCGGAGCCTCGGAACCTTTCTCACATCCAAACATCCGAAGAATAGAAAATGTCACGACTCAAGCTAGGCCTCGAGCTCGAGTCCGAGTCTCGAGCAAGGGCCAAAAGGAAAAAAAAAAAAAAAAAAAAAAAAAAGAAGCGGAGCACCACCCGTATCCGAGCCGACCAGGACCAGCAAAGCAAGCAAGTCAAGGTTTAAAAATAACACCCAACCCACAAAAAAGAACCCAAGGAAAATGAAAATGGAAAGCCCCGTCAAAAGCTAAGCTATACCAAAAAGAGGGAAACTTAACGCGTCCACATTTCCTTCTCGAGAGTTTAACAGCAGAAGGAATATACCACGTCCTGCTTCGTATAGAATTACCCCACCACCACTACCTACCTGACTTAACCCGATAAGTACCGTTTAACGCCAGCAGCGACGAGAATCCTTCCGACAACTCTATTAAACGCAAGTCGGGAACGGGGCAGGAGACGGAGGTGGAAGCCGTGGCGGCGTGGCCTCGGAAGCAGCGGTCAATTATTTCCTTGCCTGAGGCAGCTTAGCGTCGGCTCCGTATATTAGCGCGGGCACTACAGTACATTACAAAGTGGCCAGCCACTAAGTGAGCCACTGGCGAAAGTCCGGAGTATGGTCTGCCCTGTCGGTTTGGGTTTTTGGGTGGCTAAGAAACTGAATGAATCGTAAGTTAGAATTTTGGGGATTGTGGCCCTCTCCAAAGTCCAAACCTAAGACGTCCGTTTGCCGTACTGGGTAAGGACGTTTGTATTGGTTGAGTATCGAGCTTCCAGAGACAGTTAGTCTAGATGAAACACGAAGCTCGAAAACTGAAAGTCGTTGCTCCGTAATTATATATCCGAACCCCAAGAATCAGACCAAACTTTGGCTGACGTTGGCGGTGGACAGGACAAGATGACGGGGCCAGTGAAATCAAAGATCCGCTGGCTGAACCATCACTCGGTTTGTCTAGCTATACGGAAGACGGATATACTCCGTAGGAGATGGGTAAGGGGGAATTCATGAGACACGTCCGAGCTCCATTGTCTCTTTCTCTGTCAACTTCGAAATTCGTGGCATCGAGTACTTCTGGGGACTTTGAGCGTGATTCATATTTACTGGTCGGTGGGCAATTTTGTCCGCCAGAGGGCTGGATCTGCTTCGTATTCAGCCTACTAGATTCACCCTCAAGTATAGTTAGCCGACGAAGGAGTTAACCCGCTACCTAGATAGTCAATGGCGTATGCTGAACCATAGATCATTGTTGCCATACCCAAACAGTCTTGAAGGCTTTCGCAATGAAAAGGATGCAATTCCGCATACCCGCAAAGAAGAAAGAAAAGGAGAGGCGAGACCGAGCGGACCGAGGTAGGCGCCAGGGGTGCTCCAAGGCGGTGAGAATAGCTGGCGGGGCAGAAAGAGCCCGTTGCAGGGGATCCCTATTTCCAAATCCCATTCCTATTCCGATTCCTGGTCCTTGTCCCGATGCCAGCATGGCGGTGGGTTCGTCTATTTGATCTTCGTTTTTGCAGACATACAGAGTATGTTGATCGCAGATCAGTGAATCATTTCGGTTCTGAATGACAGTCAGAATCACGTAAGGTACTCGATGTGTAATGGCCCCACATGTCTACTGTCAGCATCATTGGCGTTGTCGCTGACTGCAGATATAGATCTAGAATATTGCTCTGAAGATACGCTGATTGCTGATGGTTGGTGGTTGACGGCTGATGGCTTATTTTGATACATCCCTGCTGCATCTCATGCTGAATGGCAAGGAATACGACATAGATGATACCGGGTCTACCATGCCTGCCTGTCCCCTTGCTGCCTCGTCTCCATGCGGGATAGTAAATATAAATAAACTGGGAATCTTATACATAGATACAAATGTATCAGATACCTAGATATCAAGGGCTGTTGCAATCATAACACCTCTCCTACTATTGTCGTGCATATAGTAACCGCGTCCTTTGCAACATCAGCTAGCCGCCCAAGTCTCTGCACGACATCGACCCGGCAGCAATTGATCCATCAGAAGACGAATATGAAAACTCGAGCGCTGATAATTGATATCCCTTCTATATGATATACGTTGTCGGTGGTATCTAACTGTCTTCTGTAGGTTTGCAACACTTGGGCCAAACCATCTTGCATCGTGCAATCCAACCCAACCAGCCCATCCAAAAATGTCAGTCTTCTGGTCCAGAATGAAGTCCCGCTCGTCATCTACCTGGGACATCATATGATTTCGCTATTAAAGGCAAAGATCAAGGAATGCGAGGCGGTTGTAAAGAGGTGTTGAGAACGTATGAAAAGGGGGATTGGTTTATGGTTCCTATGTAAGTCTAAGGAGGGATGGGATTAGTAGGCAGGTGTATTGTAGGGTATTTTTTATTTAATATTGGAGATGTTGGATTACTTAGATAAATACGACTCTGATATATTCATAGGAGTATAAACAAGAACCAAGTAGCCGTGCTTGCTGTAGTTACATCACAGCCATAGTGAAGATAGATAGTGGGGCCACTATTCCTCACTGAAAGTCCCCTCACATCATCCTGTAGACCCGATACCTACATCTATCAATATAAACAACTGAAATCAACAATCTCTCCCCTCCTTATACCCCCATACCCACATCCCTAGAACTTCGCATACCCAGCAACAGCAGCAGTTCACCCCCCCCCAGCCACATGCACGTATGTGGAGAAGTGAGATAAAGTTCACGTCAGAGGTGGGGCCATCCACGGACTCGGGACGAAATGAAAATGAAATGTCAACGGGTGCACGAAACTCAGCAACAGAGCCGAGCCAAAGAATGAGAGGAAGGCAACGTGCAATAATGACATTTCATAGCCATGGCCACATCCCTACCTCTCACGCCAAACACTCCCAGCACAAACTGTAGTTTAGTTCACAACCGAACTCACTCCTGTCTGCGTCAGTCCTGCAACAGATGCCGTCGAGGTTGAGATCTGACTGCGGTCGCACATGCATAGGCGTCGGTTTAGTGCATGGGGCCAAATACCTAGAAGAGCGACTATCTATCCATGTGGGCGATTAACTGGGGCTATTTAATCAAATATGGTCAATAGCGGAGGTATCTAATGGAGGAGATGGATTTGGAATCGATTGTTCAATCTATATTTGTGCGCAGTCAGGGCATTCTCGAGGTCGATAACCTATACCATGAACCTGCCTTATACTGCACCCTTCACATTGAAGGAACAGCCAGCCCCACATCTCCACATGGAGTTGTGCATGTTCTTTGCAATACCGCAACTAGCAGCATAAACCCTCTAAGAATTGAGAAATAAGGATTTGAGTCCCAATATTTCGACGACCCATACGCTTCCGAAAAGAATGGATCCAGAAGATTAGAAACCAAGCTAGTTATGCACAACGGTAAGACATATATACGAGTAAATCCAAAAATTAATGCCAGGCTGATGCAATTCGCTCCACAAATCCCAAACCCAACCCTAAAGTCAATCCATGAGAGAATTCAGAAAGAAAAGAACAGAAAAGAAAAGAAAAAGGAGTGTTAAGGATACAATGATTATCACTATGTAATTCACCCCCGTATGCTCTGCACCACATACTCCATGAACAAACCACCACAGATGGAACCCCCCGCCCACCAGAACCCTTTGCTAAACCACCACCAGCAACTCGGGCTACTCAGGAGATCCACCTTTGTGATCATCGTCCCCAGCGCGATCGTCGCGCCCCCCACGGCCACGAGGTAATACAGGGGACTGAGCCCGCTGAGCATGCCGCACTCAACCAGCAACGCCACCATGATGGCGAGCAGCGGCCACAGCAGGACCTTAGTGCGGGACTGGCACAGCACGGCGAGACTCTTGATGCCGACTTGGAGATCAGCTTGCAGGTCTTGGTGCGCGTAGACGGTGTCGTAGATGACGGTCCAGACCACCCCGGCCAGGAAGAGGCAGAGCACGGCGTAGTCGATTGACCAGGTCCCTGTTGAGGGAGAATAGGTGAATGGGGGCGCGCTCATGGCGAGCTCCCCCATGACGGTGCCCCAGGCAAGACAGACGCCGAGCACAAGCTGCGGGAAGTGCGTGTGGCGCTTGCTGAGCGGGTAGTACATGGTGGCGAGGATGTTGGGGAGGGCATAGAGCAAGCCGACGCAGAAGCCCTGCGGCAGGTAGGCTAGGAACCAGGCGGCGCCGACGGCCTGGGTAGCAGCGAAGACAAAGGCGGCGGTGGGGGAGATGGCGCCGCGCGGGATGGGACGGCGGCTGGTGCGTTCGACCTGCGCGTCGAGGCCGGCGTCAATGAGGTCGTTCCAGATGTGCGCGGCGTTGGAGAAGAAGAAGCTGCCGGCGAACAGGACGGCGCTGGCCTGGAGGACGGAGAGAAGTGAGGCCTGGGTGCGGAGGGCGGCGTGGAGGATGCCAAAGGCGTGAGGGAAGTAGATGAGAAAGAGGCCGGCGGGTGGGAACAGTCGTGCTAGTTGCACGTAGGGCACCCAGGCAGCTGGACAGATGGACAGCATGCCGGATTTATGATTGCCGCCATACTGGTCGCCTAGCGATTCGAATGCCGGTCCTTCTTTCTCGTCCTCGGTGGCGATGACGTGCACCGGTGGCATTTTGTGGAAGCGTTGTAGCACAATCGGTGAGTGGAGGGCAGCCGACGACATGCGTGGGAGAAAAGGGGCGCGCCGTTGAGGTGCGAGAGAGTGTGGGGGAGGGAGAGACTCGGTGTGGTTTTATAGTACCAGAGGTATAAGGGAATGGAGGAAGGAGTGACGGAGGTGGGTGCAGGGATTGAAGTAGAAAGAAAGACTAGTCGGATCGACTGCCAGCGATTTGCCTGCAAAGAGCTCTAATTCATACCAGCGAACAGGGCCAATGATAAATGTAGACTGGGTCTGAGCCTAGGATAAAAAAGAAGAAAAAAGTTCAGAAACGAGAGAGGATCAGTAATAACTAATAAAATAAGGGCAAAAAAAAAAAAGAAATGAACAAAGAAAAAAATAGAAAAGAATAAAGCAAAAAGAGCGGAAAAGTGGAACCGGCTACGATGCAGGCAGACCCAGGGCAATGGTTATCTTATATAATCCAGGCAAAGAACATTCTGTTCACTAATTAAGTATTAACTAATGGCTAGCGGCGCTAGTGGCCCATCGCCCAGCGGACAGGAGTGAAACGGACTCCGAGCGCAGCGCACCAGGGTCTTAGCCCAAGGCCCAAACTTTCGATGGATGAAATTCTCCGGTTCTACTGTTTCCTCGGTTTCTCTCGCCCCAAGTGGACCTCGCTCTCTCCGTCTATGGAAGCCCCGGAAGCATTCTCTTCGCTTCTACAATCCCAGTCGCACCCTGTTCCCTGCTTCGGACACGGATATAGACTAGCCTAGGCCGAGCATGCATGTCTTTTTTCTTCTCCTCCTGCTGGTCTGCCACTGGACGGAGACTAGGAGTAGGACCGTAGGTCACTTATGGAAGTTATGGTCCAGGATGCGCAGGAATTCAAAGCACCCCGACCACGTGGCGGTCGCATGTTCGATATCGCATCATGTCATTCCGGTTCTCCCTTGCGCATTGACGCTGCCGTAGAACTAGCGCTCGCCGGTTAAACTGTGATGGTTTTATTTTTTTGCTCTTGGTTTTGTCTCGATTTCCCATCTTCCCGCCGTTTCTCATCCATCTGCCAGCTGTCACCTGTCCACATTTCATCCCCCTCCCATCCCCCCTGGTTGGCCAATTCTGCACTCCTCGCCGATCAACAGACGGCATGAAATCACCGTGCATTCGTCCGACCGGTCCGTGGTCAAGGCCGCGTCCGTGAACTCCATTCCATACTTATGCAGCCCTGACGCCGTCAACTGCTCTGCGGGGTTTCAGTTTCATGGATGTCTGATCGTCGGAAGGTTTTGCATATCCAGCCATGCCACGACAGACGCCGAAGGTGGGGTTGTCGGGTTAGACTGCGCTGCTTGGCTGCACGACAGACAGAGGTTATGCAATATTATTCACAATGAGCAACCCCTCCGTCGGTGTAGCCACCGATAGCCGCGGTGAAGCAGTGCTCCGCTCCCAGGGATCGACACTGGCCGAGGAAGTTGTTGAAACTGACGCATGTGGAGAAGTCTTCTCGTGGCGTCGTGGCGTGTCTTTGATCGATCTACCAGATTTGACTAGGAGGACATGTTTACAGTTGCGGTGTACAACCTTCTCCCTTTTTTCTCCCTTGGGACGAGGGGATATCGACGATGGTGCCAAGAAAGTGTCCATCGGTTCGCCCTGGAGGCGACGGAGCTTCCGATCAGGTATATGGGTGCTTTGTCTCGCTTTGATTCAAGAGACGTGATGTGTCAATGGTTGGGAACGGTGTCCTAGGCATCCTAAACTGGTAATGATAGTTTCGCACGGTCGCATTGAACAGGATCCTCGTCCAGCTTGCAGACCGTACACCATGAGGATTTAGGTGGACCCTTTTGTGTTCATGCGGAAGTCCCGGATGCGTGTTCCCAGTGGTGATGCTGCAAATTGCGTAGAATAACACCCTCCTAGCCAGATTACAACCTATCTACACTTGGTCAGTCCGGAGAGCTCCGAGACTACAGTGTATGTACTGAAACCAGAAACGGTCAACTTCCGGTCCAAGACATGTAACAGCTCACTCAAGCCACCTTTATAATCCACCACAACTGTCCTCTCCACTCTGTATTTCCGTATATCCGCCTCCGTGTCTGCCAAAAGACTCACTTCCGCCACCCGCCAAGCCCTCCGGCCGGCTGTCTGCATCCCTTGTGTAATAATCTTCATGCAATGCATTACGAACACTCCCCGTACGTACATACATTAACACTGCGCCACATATAATCCCATGCACAATACATATACCCGATTGATTCAAATACATGAAGTTACCGGCACCATGCATTAACCTGCGTGTTGACTCAGGAATACAAGCAGCAAGGGCGAATTTAAGTAAACGGACACGGAGGATTTATACTGCCTAGATTTTATATGTATACTAACTAATTCCAACTCGGTATACGGTGTGTATGTCAGTGCGTAGCAACCAAGTATTAATTAAATAATATCAATTGTAATCACCGATCCGCTCAGGTCAAAACTCCAAATTCCCAACTCTAGCCTTTACGCCAGGAATAAAACCAGGATCGTAGTCTACATGAAGTGGCTTAGTAGTCGAAAGTAGTCGATGGCCTGCCCTTTCATGTCTACCATACTCTATCGGTGCTAGTATAAGTCCCTAGTAGTGAGTTAGTTAGGAGTCCTGATTACCAAGTCAAGAATAGCACGCATCGTGACCGACGCCGGAGATTAGGCGCAATCTCCGCCCGGAGGCCATTCTCCGCGGGACTGATTGGTGATCCATCTCTACATGTCAATGTTCGTCGTCGGTGATGGTGATGGTGTTAGTTTCTTTCTTATCTTTCCAATCTACACAATGCATGTATCAGGTATATACATACACATCGCAGAAAGTGCTAGATGGTCTGAGAACTCACAAATGTCAGATTTTAGCCCCCAGCCTTGCACCTCAATTATTAATGTCAAATGGAGGGGCTGGTCTGGTCTGGGGCTATAAAATCATGCCAGGTAACTACTCCGCTGACTGACATTCTAACTCACAATAATAAGTTATTCCTTCCTCGTATCTTCTCCGGATCGATCCTTCGTGCTCCTTTATCGAACTCAATCGCGTACACGTACATCAATCAATCAATCATCTCTTGGTCAATTGGCCGAATCAAATACATTGTTAAAAATGGCTGCTTCGAAACAAGGTGTCTCGTTACAAATGACCGTCCACGTTGACCCCTCTAACGTGGATAAGTTCCTTGAGGCTTTCAAGCCCGTCTTTGAGAACGTTATCGCGGAGCCGCAGTGTACGTTTTTCGAAGTCTATCAGGATCCTGAGAATCCGGGGACGTTGTCGTGGGTTGAGAATTGGTATGTCATTACTTGGTTTTTCTTTTTTTTATTCATGCTCCTGCTTCGTTGAGTTGGTTCTTCGTTTGTGGTTTTGTCGCTTGTATAGTGACTACCTCGTGAGGTTCTAGCAGAGCTATGGGCTAATTCATGGGCCAAAGAGCTAACAAGCAAATGTCAACTATTTAGGTCTGAGTCGAAGGAATGGCTATTGCAGGTAATTAACCCCTCATTAACACTTCTCTCCTGTCCTGGAGGAAACCCATCGAGCAGAGAGGGTGTCAAGAAAAAGAAACGCAAGGGTACTCATTGACATCCATACCCGATATAGAACCAAATTACAAAAGACTACTACCGCGAATACTTTGCCATCACGGAGCCGATGTTCGTCAAGCCGAGGGAGTTCAAGCTGTTGCATCGGCTTGGGGAGCCGTTGACGATGACGAAGCGGTCGAATGGGAGATTGTTGGATTAATGGGTTAGTTGGTTGGTGACCGTGCGATATCTTGGATTTATTCTAGTAGTGGGATGATCTTCGTTTCCTCGGCGTATGTCTTCTCGGTTTGTTGGTGTTGGGGCCTGCTGGTATGGCTTGCGGCGCTAGGCTGCACGTAGTTAGTCAGTCAGCTGACCCACACTGGGCCGCTGCATCTCTAGAACCTCTGCAGTTGTAGTATGAGAGAGAATCAAGCGTTTCCATCCGATTCCCTAGCACTTTCAGAGCCGACGCTCATCAGTTGGTTATGGAAAAATGGTTGTGATCCAGCTGGGCATCTGGGTCTAGGTAGCGAGAAATGCTATGCTTATTCATGCGTTAGTTTGCTGTACTTTGCTGGATCTCACTAGTAAAAGGTGAAACTGTCCAACATTCTGTGTTCAGGTTTATCTTCTACACAACTGAATAGGAATAGCGCCATATGCCTACTGCGCTTTCACCCCATTGACAATTTCACACCACATGAGACTAACCAAGAAGAATATCATAGCGTGATCTTCACTGGATCTTTCAACTGCCACCGACCGACCTTTGAGATGCCTGGGATGCGTTTTGCCAGACCGCCCCAGGCATGCAACACTACATGAAACCGTTCTGCCTGGACAACGACGAATACTTATCAGCTACAACCGTCATCTGAGGAAATATTATTTCTGTCGAAAAGACACTCGCTACAGACATAGAACTTCATCAAACAAAACCTTTCCACAGAACGGTAGGTGGTCACGTGCCCGCCCATATGAGAGACCGATGCACACATGGATGTCAGGCCAGATAAAGTCCAACATCGTATTCACTGCGTATATCTTATCTACACTGTGAGTCAGGCCAACCAGAGCAGATTCTAACGCTATACAGAATAGACAACCAGGCCATCCCCACACCCCTACACACCCGGCACTCTGGGCGTTGGCCGAGAGAGTTGCCGAACAGTGGGCCCCGTCGGCAGCGCTTACCCGGGGACATCCAATCATGCACAGAAGGGATCAAATTTGACTCGAGAGATCGTTGCAGGAATGACACTTTGACCGTGAAGGATGTTTGAAACTTTGGATCCCTCGAGCAGAATCTACAAACCAGCGAGGAACCAGCCTGTCAAGCTCTAGCACGACACGGTTCTGACGAACCCGCACCCGCCTTGCAAGTGACATAGGGCGTGCCTTAACTCCCAATGAATCATTTTGACCTTCACAATGAGTGGGACCGGGTTTCCATGACACATGGAAACCGTCCAATTGTCATGTTTGTCTGCTCCGATCAGGAAACGATAGGCTGGTGGTCTCGATCACGACATCGCAGTGGGGCGCTCGCGACTGGCCCAGCAAACGTCAATTAAATAAGACTCATACCAACGTCGGGACACAAAACAGCTTCTTGCAGATACTGAGTGCGGAATCTGTTCAGTTACACGGACACGATGGGTGAAGTCGTCGGGACCCTGCACCGCTGGTATCGCGGGACCTTGTACCAGGCTGTGGTGCTGGGTTTGATCAGTTTCACGCAGCCGGGAATTTGGGATGCGTTGAATAGTGAGTTTTGCTTGAGTCTTGGGCTGGCAGATGCCAAGGTTGCGATATGATTGAAGGAAGCTAATCTGTGATCTCTAGGTTTGGGCGCCGGCGGTCTTGCGACGCCGTATTTCGTTAATGCCTCGAATGTCATCACCTATGTGATCATGATCGTCACTTGTCCGCTCTTCGCCGTCGCCGGGAATCGATTCAGTTTGAAATGGGTGTTGGTTGGGGGAACGATCGGCTACGTGCCCTATTTCGCCGCGTTATACTGCAATAGTGTGTTTGGGACGCAGTGGTTTCTTCTGTTTGGGTCGGTGTTGTGCGGTTTCTCGGTAGGTTTTGCACTCGATGTGCTTGCATGGAGGCGATCGCTGATGCGTGTATGACAGGCCGCTGCACTGTGGGTTTCCGAAGCTGCCATTGCAGTTGGATACCCCGAGATCGAGAACAGAGGGACATACAGTAAGCGTCGCAATCCAAGGTACCTGGTGAAGAAAACTGCAAGCTCACACAAATAGTCGGAATCTGGATGGCTCTCAACAAACTCGGCTCGATCATCGGAAACGCAATCCAACTCGCCCTGAACATCGATAATTCCGCGAAAGGCAGCGTCAGTCCGAGAACCTACCTCGTGCTGATCGGTCTCAGCTGCGCCGGTCTTCCACTCGCCCTGACGGTCGCGCCGGCACATAAACTGGTCCGCAAGGACGGAAGTAAACCGACCTTCAGCACCGACAAAGAACACGTCTCGATCAAGGATGGGTTCAAGGGTCTCTGGAAAGCGTCGAAACAAAAGTATATGCTCATGTTGCTGCCGATATTCATCACCGTTCGCTGGAGTCAGACGTATCAGGGCAACTATTTGACTGAGTACTTCTCCGTCCGGGGCCGCACCTTGGCCGGGTTTATTCAGACGGTTGTGGGCACCATCGCGACGCTACTGTGGGGTTGGTTCCTGGATTCTCAGAAGGTCGTAAAGTCGCGAAAGGTTCTGGCTCTGAATGGGTGGTTGATCATGCTGGCCGTGTTCATCCCACAATGGGTGTTGAACTTCGTCATGCAGAAGAAGTTGCAGAGCGAGAACCCCACACCGTCTTTGGATATCCACGATCCTGGGTACGGCAAGGCCATTGCGGCGTACTGTTTGTTTGGGTAAGACTCATCCTCCTGATAATTGCGATACGCCTGCTAATATAAACAAGTGTTGCGAGTCAAGCATCTGTCGTTTGGACATACTGGATTCTTGGAACATACGACGTCCATGTCGACGTTTTGGCGTATACTACCGGAATCCTGCGATCGGCGGAAAGTTTAGGATTTGCGATTGCGTTCGGCATCGGAGCCAGCGAGAATGTCTCGCTTATGGCCAATTTGATTGTCGGGTTTGTGGTGTTCTGGGTCAGCGTGCCGTTCACTACGTATGCTTCCTGCACTGTGAAGGAGCCCGGCGAGGCAGTTGGGGAGATAAGTGGCCCCTCTGGAAAGGAATTCAGAGGTTCTAATGATGATCTCCCGGGCGATCTTTCACGTCGTCAGGATCATGAAGCTGGGTCACAAGCTTGATCACTTTTCAATTGCAATTGTATATTATAACTGGAAAGCTAGAGTTGCTTCAAAAAAGTGGATAGAACATTTGGTGGGAACATAGACTTGTTCCATAGGCTTTGTTAGGTAGTCGCTGGACGACAGCCTGTGATGTGGGACGATAGCGATGCATTTAGCGGACACAAGTCAACACATTCACCAGTGTATTGTCAACTTCACGGTTCATTAATCTCTACTGTGGATAGGAAAAGGGGCTGCATCCACCTTCTCAAGAGGCTTCCTATCTGGGTTAGACTGCTGACAAATACTGATAAAAGGGGAACCTGCCTGTTTAGGATTAGTGTGAAATGGGTTAAAGATGTGCAAATCCCGGAGGCACAAGCTTGTTCATTATTGTTGGTTCCTGAACACAAGGAACAATATTGATTAATATGGAAAAAATAAATGCCCACCTGGATGAGCGTCCTTATCAAAAGGGATCGTCTCAAATCCCTCAACACTGGTGTCTTTGAAAGGCTTCCTACCAAGCACTGTCCACCTCGTGAACTTCCAAACAGAGCTCTGACTAGCCTCTCTTTCGACCTGCTGAATTAGGGCCCTGTATTTGGCTCCCTGGCCTGTGCCACCCATCATCCTACGTACCCATGAGTCTAAAAGGAAGAGACTACATTCGTGAGTCGGAGTTAGCAGGTGGGACGGCGTTTCCCAGATATGCTGCCGGATATTTTCGAATCCTTCCCGCAGGAACATATCCGGGAGTTTCGGGCACCAGCTCCATTCCTCTTTGATGTATTCTTTGTTACAGTGCCTCAAGAGCTCGATCATTGCGTCAACTTTGCTGGATGAGTGTGTCTTCTCGATGCGACAGGATGACATGTCGACTTCGGCCCACTGGAGATAGCCGCCTGGTTCTAAGTCGTGCGGGTTGTTAGACAGACCCAAGTTGAAAGAAGAGGAGGCGTACTCAGCAGCTTTCTTAATATCTTCAAGAGAGAGGACAGTTGGCGATCGTCAAAAACTAGAGCGAACAGTCGAATGTGCACGACGTCGTATGTGCCCATCCACTCGCGTGGGGGCTCGGTCCGAACATCCCAGTGCTGGAGCGTCATGTTGTCAGGCAGCCATTTAGACGGTGGTGTAGCGTCAAGTGTAATATCAAATCCGTCCAGATGAACCGATGGAGGCGATGTTTCTGCCAAGTCGATCAACCAGATCCTGCACAGCAAATGATTATCATTGACATGTCTGCAATGAATGGAAGTATCTTAGTACCCCGTTGCGGTACCGATGTCCGCGATTCGTATATCCTTGTTGTCCGTGGGAATGTCAGGATGGAGGAGATAACCGAATAGTTTGACCCAAAGGTAGTGTTGAAGGCCGACCCTGTGAGAAACTCAGGCTAGTCCTTGGAGTTATAGAGAGTATGTACCTACTGGCTATTGTCAAGGTGATCACGAACTAAGGAGAAGCTCATCCTAGAAGACATGTTGCCCTTATAGTTCATTGCCGTTTCGGGTCCTCTCGAACTTTCTAGATATGCATTGAAGTTAATGAAACTATCTCAACATCTCATGTAAATTGACCAGATTCTAGGAAGAACGGACCAAGAGGTGATCGCTCCGATGATTATATGTCCAGTCAAGATTTCAATAGCCCCAAAGTTAAATTAACAAATGAATCTAGCTGATTACGGAGAAATGCTCGTGTGAAGGATCTAACTATTCATCGGATAGATATTGCTGTTGGACCGGGGAAGCGCTATGCGGTATGTTTTCGACATCTCATCACATCACTTGTCGCTATCACATGATTATCGAATGAGCTTCGATAGAGTCAGGAATTATGATAGTTGACGGAAAATATTGCGGCCTAAGAGCTCCACGGGTGCTAAGTATCTAGAAATTAAAATCTCTTTCGAAGACTAATCTTAGAGCCAAATGCGAATCTGATGGAGTAAGTATATATCAATCAAGTGACGGATCCGTCTCTAATCATCCAAAAACAAGGGCATTCTTAAGGAAAGAAACAGCCGATTAATGGAATTCAACGAAATGGACTGGCTTCACATCGCATTTAGCGCAGGCACTACTGGTTTCTTTGTTCTCGGGGATGTTACTACTTCGTACTTACTAGCATGGTTGGCTCTGGCATTAGCTCTAAATGGGGAAGAAGCCATCAAGGTATACGCAAGGAATAATAGCAGGTAGTAACTATGAAAGGAAGATGGTTTGGTTATCAAAATAGTATCTTCGAGTCATATTCGTGAAAGGATCATAGGGGTGCTGCGTTTTGACTCCGAAGCGACCAAACGTCTGTGATAAGCCCGTATGCACGAACACGAATGGTGGTTTGTAAGACTAATCTTGAGAAAGTTAAATTGACGATAGGACACCCTGATAGTATGTGACATTGTGAATGAAATAACATGTTCAAAATATCCCGTGACTTCGAGAAATATGTAGTCTCCTCATTTGGTGGTACTACACTCAGAAACAAGGCTCTCACTGACCAACCCGGTCCCTCTTCACAATCTCCTTGAGAATATAGACCACCTCATCCACCATCGTAATCATAGAGTAGTGTCCCGTCTCCAGCTGAAAGGTCTGCACCTCCCTCCCCTCCGCCTCAACCTCCCCTATCATCCATTTCTGCCAATCTATCGACACCGACATATCCTCAGTAGTTTGAACATACGATACCAGAATGTCTCTCCACGCAGCTGTCTCGATTGCCTGATACACAGCCTGCAAATTCCACCTTCTCAAATGCCGTAAAAACCCCTCCTCCCCATCAGGAGTCAAGCCCGGACCCAGAAACAGTTTCAACGGGTACCGATTGAGACACGATTTATCGTCGGCGATATCCATCCCAAGGGGGATTGAATCCGCATTTCCGAAGCGTTCTACCACTTCGAACATGCTAGTGCCTCTTTGAGCGCGAAAGCAATGAGATAGACTAAACGGGTTACCCCGCCAGGAAGGCCGTCTAGTTGGCGGCGTTCGACGCCGAGACCCGCTAGGTAGTGCGTTAGTGCCAACCTAGCCGCCGTAGGAGTGCATTAGCACCGTCACTTCGCGACCGGCGTCGACGAGGCTAGTCACGTAGTTGCGAATCAGATGGGTGTCCGAGTAGAGGTCGCCGTTTGGAGGTCGGGAGTCGTTCAAAGTTGGGAGTCGGGGGATGTATACTTCGGGGCCGAGGGTGTTAAGGGCGGTTTGGAACTTTTGGTAGATGGGTGGATCTAGCCAGGCACCGCGGATGAGTACAATGGTTGGGTTCTGAGATGACAGTGACATTTTGGAATGTGGAAATTAGCAGGAGACTGGTAAGTGAGGAATGATGTCTTGTAGATATCGGGAATAAAAAACCCAGGAGACGAGTAAACTGTTGATGATATGCAACGTGTGTGTATTTTCTAGAGGTGGATCGTAGGATCCCTATAACTATAGCCCTCTGGGGCATGCCTACCGGAGGCATCCGCTAAGATAATGGAAGGTCCTGCGGATGTGCATGAGCAGCCTCTAAACAGAGAATAGCAGTGAAGTGGGAGGAGAGAAGTGAGATCTCGAAGATATCGTGGATGAGAAATTCGTGAGAAGTGCACGACGGCTTTATATCATTACGTCGTGATGGTAAGGAGGACTGGCTTGCTGTGTGGGAGGGTGTGGTGAACTGGGGAATCAGGTTATTGTTCGCGTTGGCAGAGCGGGTCTGTGGAGGTAAACAGAAGGCCTTACGTTCTGGCTTTGACAGATGTGTCGTGTCCAGGCAGTCCCTCAAGATAGGGTTGAGTGACTGTACCAAGGCAGATAAACCGCATAACCCTGTCGTCTCACATACGCAGGTACTTTCTAAATTTGTATTCGGTGGGTAGCTTTCCAACAGGATGATATCATTAAAAGATTTCCGAGGGAGGGGATCCGATTCTATGAAAGAGCGGATACTGTCGGGCTCGAGTCTCTAGGCAACGCGGGCTACTTGAGCAAATTCTGGCAAGATTCCATCTATTTCGAAGTTCTCCTCAAAGCTCCTCAGATTCTTGACCAATGGGCGCTTCCAGCATTTGCCTCGAATGAGGGTGTAGTGCAAGCTGTGCGCGCGCACTCTCGAGCTTTTCTAAAACGCAGGGGGCCACGCTTTGAAATCCTTCGTCTCCGCGGTTGATCGAGATACTCGGACTGCTTGAGTAATGTGTCGAGAATCGTGTTGGCAGCACCGATTCGGTCAAGTATGTCGGCGTATATACTTTTCGAGAATATATCGCGAAATTTCCTCACTTCGTGTTCTAGGGTTGATGCATCTTCCCAAACCTTCTAATGAATAACACACATGTTAATGGAATTGTACAAGATTGTAGGAACGTCAATTGCTAATGCACGCATTATCCTCAAACGTACATACCTCTGTGGTCGACTTGTTTTGAAACTGCAGTCTTCTGTTTAGGTCTTGTAACAGGGTCGCAAGCTCTGTCATTGTTTTCTTGAATGGGAAATAGTTTCTGTCAAGTTTCTTCTCCATTCTTTTTACCAGATCCGGCTCCTTCCACGCGTTCCCCGAGGGATCTTTAATGAGTTCATCAATGCCATCTTGGAATTAAACCACCTCGTCAAGAGCGCGTTCCAGTGTGTTCAAGAACATGGCATGCTGGGTCCAAATATTCGACAAGCACCCATCTAACTATTGACGGTAACGCTTTGCTCGGAGGCCTTTTATTGTTTGAAGACCCTGAACGTAGTTGTCGAGTTGGCTGACTAGAAGAGGGAGAATGGCCAGCGCAAGACCAGCTGCCTCCATAATGAAGCCCGGATCATTTGGCTAAAAGACCAAAGAGAGGACTTGAAACAACGATGTTCAAAGTCAGAAAGACCGGAATCCTTCAGCCTCATCGGAGTCTGCCCCGCATCAACCCTTGTCAAGTCCACTTAATGGTGAACACGTAGTAGGACAAAAAGCAAACATGCATCCGACCTATGTGATTTGATCGGAATGTAAAACGATGATATCCTGGACTCGGCTTCCATTTCAAAGCCACGCTATTCTTGAGTGACTGATTTTGGACATTGAATTAACGACTCCCTCTATATACAGGCACGATGAGTGCCATTGCTGTTATTGTTGTAAATTGCCTCAAGAAACTCAGAGGCCTCGTCTAATCTGATAAATCAGCGCAATGTGGTCCGGCACGCGAGATGGAAAGATGAGCTTGGACGCCTACGGGTGTGGGCTGTGAATATTCGCGCCCACCAGACAGGAAATTTATCACTAGATAACCGACTCGGTGATGCAACGCATATCAGAGATCAGACCCTCCGGATTCTCCAAAGATTAAGAAGAGTCCTGGAAGACTTACAAGACACTGATGAAGACCTAGTTGGTTCTGATGATATTTCGTCATCCGAGGATGAATGCATAGAGACGGAAATTCAGTCGGACTATAATGCTCTCTGCGATACAATCAACAATTTTTTTCAAATTTCGATGGCAATCCGAAGGTGAATAAAGTCCCAGTATTCCAGTCAACACCACTAATTATCATAAACCCAGACCCGCACCGCACGATCGACTGGCGGGGACACAGAGGATAGATGCCGTAAGTTTTGAACCATTTGATAAGCAGCACACCGCGAACAAATATCCAAATGCACACCCTGAGATTCAAAATTGTCTTGGCTTGGCGATCTCCCAGCGTCGAGCTATACTTCGTTATCGTGAACAACATTCGAAAAAGCTTGGCCAAGGTCTTAACGACATATTGGATGACGAATCGGAAGTGCACTCAACAAAACTATGCGAGACCGTCGTGAGTGATTTTATGCAAATGAATAGCACGCAGGAAGAATTCGAGAGTAAGTCTCTCGTTTCAAAGACATCATACGCTGAAACGCTTCTATCTGGTAGCGAGGGATCGGTAATTCCACCACTACTAGCCGGAGTGGCCGACGGTGCTCCATTTGAATGTGCTTATTGTTACAGAATCATTACCCATACAGGATTGCAAGATTTGGCCCGTCATGTGTTTCTTGATGCCATGCCATATATATGTGTGTTTCCCAATTGTCCAGCCCCACAGCGGTTATATGAAAGTCGGCGGCAATGGTACTTTCATTCATTTGCAGAGCCAACATTCAGTTGGAAGGCAATATGAGAAACATCTGGCCCGTTATTTGCAAGAACTGGCCTTGTTTGCGTTACCACGGCCCGATCCAGAATCTGCGACCATACAACCATCTGAAATGCACCCAGAGGGGGCTGAGTCACAGCAATCAATATCCGAGGATAGCTTGGAGAGACTTACCATCAGTATCCCTGAACATCTCGTTGTCGATGAAACGAAATCCCAGGGTTGGAAAGATTCGGGCTCTCTCGAAACCTCTGAGTCTGTAAGTCTAATGCAGGCTTACTTCGAGCATGGTGAAGGGAGATACCGCCAGGATAGACAAATAGTGATCATATTGAAAGACACATTTGGTCATGCATTCCAAGTCCCATTGGAGGATTGTGATGATTGGCAGGTAAGAGTTGCCCATGCCTTTTAAGAAGAGCCCAGCACTGGAGAGGAGAGCTAATCACAAATGCCGCTTATCAGCAGTTGAACGAAACTATCAAACAGGTCTTCTCGGACATTGAGGTTTTACGTCCAGGTGTTGTAAACGGAAACTACGTCCTAGTAGAGTCAAATGGCAGTATTATTACACCACGCGCCTGGGCAAGATCCGGTAAGCTCGGCCTGACGGTAACGCTGCACTGCACATGCAACCAATTCCCAAGAGCGGTAAGTTTATCGTACAACCTCCATATTTTTACTCAAGCACTAGCAGCTCACAGCCTTTGGGATTATATAGAATTTTTGTACATATGCTGTCAATGTAATGATGGACCTAAGCGTTATGACAACCAGCCTGAATGCGGTGTCTGCTTGCACACCGCATGTTCCTCATGCGTCCATGTGAAGTGAACCTCCAATTTTCGCTTTCAATGGTGAGATATAGAGACAAGTCTCAAGTTTAGCCTGATAATTCTGGTCTTTCACTGCGTTTATCTTTCGATCTCGAAGACTTCATACGCAAATTGAGCGGTGTCTCGGCAAAAGGGATACATTTTTTCTCTTCCAGGGTCGCAGCCTGAAGGTGGAGATGTCAAAGAGACGATTGTTTCTCATATAGGTATTTTTCAATCACTTTTCCTGAAAGGGGACCACTTGTTTCAGAGAAAGAGCAGAGTATGTTAGAACACCAGTTTAGCTGTTTGAATCTCCTTGCTCGATATAGTTTACTATGTCATGAAGCCATATGATGCTTTCGGTCAGAGTTTCAAGGTTCGATCTTGGATGCCAGCACTGTACACACTATTTAGGTCACCACAATCAACAAACCTCATATATTCAAATGTAATCCGGGTATAGATTCAAGAAGGAGCGAGGCAGAGAGCGATTGCCACTTATTGTCTTGTACTGTTGTCGCTCTGGGAATTCAAACGAACCAAGGGCCAAAGAATGCACTGAAAGGCACGGGACTGGAGAGAACTTGTGAATCATCTATTTTACAATCGTCTGAATTTAATCAGTTCATAGTCAGTGATCACCTATCTATGAATTCATTGAACTTAAAATTGCCTCCCGTACCAAAACCCTAAAAAGAATTTTCTCTTTCAACTTCATTGGCTCATCATGCTGTTCCCCTACGGCAAGCCATTGAGGATTCGGTTTTCCTTTCTTTTTGTTTTTGTTTTTTTTCGTTTTCTCTCCTATATGTTCGTAACAACTACACTTCTGCTCTTTCCTTATTTTTTATCTTGATGTAAGAACCGCCGACTCATACTTGCTCTGCTCTTCTTTTTACACATAGCCCATGCAAGTCATAACATTACCCATTGCAATGTACTGATCAAGAACAACTTCAAAATGTACTTTATCAACCGGTGAAGTATTTGCGAAGTGCGGAAATGCGTATAGTGGGGTAGAACGAGAAAAGAATGGAATGTGAGGTAGAGTCAAGTTTCTGTCAAGGTTCTGTCAAAGTTTATATGTCCCATTTTGCACACAATATGTGGTCATCTATTTCCACATTTAGACAGAATTCTCTACAGCCTTGGATAGATTTTAATCATCATATTGGGTCGCTCAAAGACCAGCCAATTCGCAACCCCCGAAATACCGACTATTGCATCATCTACCCGATGTTATACAAATGCAGTCGAGAAGGGACTTGGGCCATCGTCACTAAGAAGCAACGGATATATCTTCCTTGAACAAACATGCCGGAGATATCTTTGGTCCTAGCAAAAATGCACTTTGCCTTCGACGCCGAGTTGGTTAATCCCACCCAGAGCTGGGAGAGTGAAAGTCGCCTACATGTTATGTGGTGGAAGCCAACCTTGGCGGTGCGATTTTATCCCAGAGCACCAAGCAGATAGCCAGCCCAGGAATATGGTATGGGATAGACATGCTACAAGGCGGAGTACTCTTTCATAGCCGATGGTCCCTATGGCTTCGTTCATGTATCGGTTTATGTACAGGATATTCTGCTCTGGCCGTGACACGTCGCGTCCAACAAACATTACTCGGCCGTAAATCGAGCCTTCATGGCTACATATACAGCGTGCAGCTATTCCCTGATACCTCCTAGAGTCTCCAGATGACAGTGGGACTGCTCCTCCTGTACACGATCCCATAAAATTTATAGAGCCTTGCGAAATTGCTGTAGTGCCGACAATGAGAGGATGTTAAACAGCACCGACGATTTATCCGACAGATCTAGGCTGTACATGCCGCAGTTTAGCGTGACAGTGGCGTGGTCATCAGCCGCTGCGCGTCCTTGCAGCTAGGGCAGGTGGCAAACGATCCCAGCTTTCGGATCACGGCGCGCAGAGTGGCTAAATACTGGATCGTAGAATTGTGGACCACCACGCGTTAACCTGAACGCATACTTGCTCTAATAGCTCGAGTGCCTGCTCGGTGCACTGGCAAGCTTTGAATGTGGAAGGCTTAGCGGCGATGCTCTTGAATGCATGCCCAATGATGATTCTGTATCTTGTGCTCCTAGATTACCTGATTGTCTCTTGACTCGAGGTTGTTATCGCCATGTCGTAACAAAGACACAGCGGGTCTCCTGGAGATTTATTGAGAGGTTCATATAGAGCAGATGGCAGAATACAGGGGTCTAGGTTCGAGGAGCCATCAATGTGTGCCTCTGGAGCTTCGGTCAAGGTTTCCCTGTCACACGGCTGCGGGCTTTGGACAAGGATCCACCACGGGACCACGGTGCTGTGTGGTTCTGTCTCGATCCGGTGGTAGGTCGTGACCGGTCTGCTCAATGCGTTTGTTCCTCTTTTTCTTTTTTATGACAGCTTATCGAGATTGACAACCGGTTGGGAGGGATTTGACTTCAGCGGTTCGGCAACGAAAACATCCATCAGCGCTAAACTCTAAACATTTCAACTGTATCTTGTCAGCGGTTTGCTAGGTCTAGAATCACAAGGAAAAGATACCTTCTTAGAGCGACACGATTGACATACGATGTGAGGTGGGTGATGGTATGGCGGCGGTTTTGTCGTGGACGTGGCTAACAAGCTTTGGTTATTTAAGTTGCGCAGTGTTGCAAACATACTAGACTTGGCTTAGCGACTCAATTTCAAACTCTTCAAAGTGGAGAAGTAAAATTTCCCAGATGTTGCGGAGATGTGTGCAAAGTGTACGGGTATGTTGAACAGCTAACCAAGCTTTCGTGTTTCCCAACGACTATTATGCCTAGAGATTGGCTTGATATCTCCGCGCATAACGGTGGCGCCTAGTAGAAAGTGCAATAGTTTGATTGATCAGCATTCCACGGGCGCCGAGATTTGACGTCATTTGATCTTAAGCCATTTAATCATGACCGGGTTCTTGAAAAAATCACCTTTCAACTTCGCACACTAACACCACCATTACTTACTGAAGGCTCAGTATCACCGGCTTTTCAAACACCTCAGAACTCTCGCCAAATTGATCGTAAGGTTCAAAGGCTATAAAGAAGTCTTCAAAAGAAAACAACACTTTCTAGCAGTCCAGTCTCTCATTCAACATCTTGAAAAGGCTGCGCAAATGGCAATAAATACGAACCTTCTTCAACAAGAAACAAAGGTTCTATGAGCTGAAAATGAGCGGAAAATAAAGAAGAAAGCAAGAAGACGCACGATTCTGGGAAATTATCTCTTTATATCTGTACAGGAACATCGTGACCGCATTCAGCAGCTTGATACGCAGCTTAATGAGCAGGTTGATGCCCCTGCACCTGTGCCTCGCCAACGCGCTCCACCACGCTGCAGTGGCTGTGGGACTATTAGACATACTGTAAGACGCTGACCTAGTAAATAGCTATTTATTATATTTTCTATATATTCAAATTTAATGGTGTTGTTGGTTGCAAAGCTTCAAAAACATACTGGGTGCGGCGGAGGTGCGCAATTCGGCCGTGGATTACGTTACCTATGGCACAGCTAGAAATGTATGATCCTGTCTATGAATCTTTGGACCCCAAACTAAGGACAGCTCTAGCTCATGTGCCAGGAACTCTAGGCACACTTCGGTATGATCAACAAGGGGTCTGTCTCTTCAAATGGATCTCATAGCTTCTACACTTCTGTGTGCGAAAGGCTATGTAATGAGCTTTTCTGGAAAGATCTTGGATCCTCTCATAGGCTCTAGAAGTCATGCTGAAACACCAACAGGTTTAAAAGACATCTTAACACTTCTTAGGAACTATATAACTCGGACTTCTCTAACGAGATTGATGAGATCCACCCCTATAATGAAATGGTTCCTTGGAGGCTGTATATTCGTACTATTAGTCTAAACCATTCTTATATTTTATAGTTGTGTCTTTACCTTCTCCTTTTTATTGCTATTTATTTATTCCAAATCAATCATATATTTTATAACCAGGACTATCGGTGTATCGGGCCATAGTTTCCGTCGAATTCTTTCCATGTTATTAATTTTGGGAGTGATGCAATAATGAATTAGCTCGTTCGGTGTAGATTTGAACTATCTGTTAAACGCAAGCTCTTACCTTGGTAAGGAGTGAACGTTAATGATGTATTTCAAAGTTCAGACTCCACATTTCTTTCGTGAATCTTTTAATATCACACCAATTTTGTTGACAAAATGTTATACTTATATTTGCGGGGCGGCCATTCTCCATAAGGTGATCTAGTGACGTTCAAATTTGCAAAAAGTAAGCCTTTGAGTTCAAAAGACGGTGAGTTTGCCAAACTCACGGAGGTCCCGTAGGAAGGAAAGCCGCCACGAAGGACTGATAGATAAATATGCGAGAGTCTGTAGCATATCCAATACAAGATTCACTGTCATTCTATTAAATCATACACTATGCTACCAAGTACCTACAATGTGCCATCTGCTATTTCAAACTGCTACCCCCAGGAGGTCACTCCGATTGAGAATCGGGAGTCGATGCCAGAGTTGACCAGTGATAAACCCCCAACATCTCTTTTTACACCGAAGATCCACCCCAATGCTCAGGCAATCTCCGCGAGAGTCGATGCATATTTCCTGCAACGGTGGCACTTCCGTAGTGACGCTGAGCGTGCCAAGTTCCGCGCCGCGGGCTTTTCATGTTTAACATGCTTATACTTTCCGATGGCGTTGAACGACCGGATTGAGTTTGCATGTCGACTGTTAACACTTCTCTTTCTGATTGATGGTATAAACCTCTTTGGAGACATCTGTATGAATAATGCTGACCTTGGCTTAAACTTTATCATTAGACATTCTAGAAGAGACCTCGCTCGAAGAGGGCTCTGCATATAACGCACGACTAATCGCCATATCTAAAGGCGAGCGTCTCCCTGACCGGACAGTCCCTGTTCAAGCTATCACATATGATTTATGGCACGAGATACGAGAATGCGACAAAATCCTAGCAGAAGATCTGCTCCACTCAGTTATTATCTTTATGCGCGCCCAGACGGACAAGACGCGTCTCGGTATCAGTGAGCTAGGGAAGTATCTGAACTATAGGGAACGAGATGTCGGACAAGGGTAAGGCTTTCCTATATTAACGCATCTTGATTTTAGCTCATGCTGGTGTGTTAGTCTACTCTCCGCGCTTCTTCGCTTCACAATGAAACTTTATCTGACTGATGATGAGCTGCATCGCGCGGGCCCCGTCGAGCGAAACTCTGCCAAGCACATTGCCATTGTCAATGACATCTACAGCTGGCATAAGGAACAGCTCGCATCACAAACCCTGCACCAGGAAGGCGCCGCTCTCTGCTCGGCAGTGCAGGTCGTAGCCAACGAGACGGCGCTCGGATTTCCTGCGGCGCAGCGGGTCCTGTGGACAATGTGTCGGGAATGGGAGTCAGTGCATCAGCAGCTCGTACAAGACGTTATTTCGGAGGGAAGCGACAGCCTGCAGATATATGTGCGCGGGATCGAATATCAAATGAGTGGGAATGAGCGCTGGAGCGAATCCACGCCACGGTATCATCTTTCGTAGTTTGATCAAATATTCAATGGATGGAAACTTTCGGATTCGTTTGAAATGGATTTTGGATTTTAATTCCCGCTTTTACATTCTTGTAGAATGAATGTGACGCGTCTTGTCGACCTCACTGGAATTGAGAGTGTATGAAGCTCTCAGTAATTGCTTGGCCTCACTCATCATTGATGTTTCAACTACTAACTCTTAAGTTTCGTCCTGCTAAGATGTTACTCAAGCACCTCCACCGATCACATCGGGACCTTCCATTATCTTAGCGCAGCCCTCCGGTAGGTAGGTACGACCCACAGGAATCTATATAGGGATCTTACGATCCTTCTCTGGATAATACACACACGTCGCATATCATCAAGACATTCTTTGTTTCATAAGTTCTAGTTCCGGCCATCAAGACGACATACACTCAACGTGCTAACCTCGGACCATACCTGATACTTGAGCTAAACTTCCCTACACCACGCTACAAGATGCAAGTCGAAGACAAATATGTGTTTCCGCGCGATTATCTTGACAACAATCGGTATGTACTTTCTGAAGCAAATAACAGCGATTTCGATTCAGCTAGTTAATTCTTGAGCAGTATCAATCTTCAACACTTCCTCTGGGTCCGTCTATTTGGATACCTTCTTCACCAAAGTATCCCAACAGAGCAATTACCATATTACTCGACTCCCAAGCAGCTATACGCAGGCTACAACATGCAGGACCTGGACCAGGTCAGACAATAGCTGCTGATATACGCACTACCGCTCAGGACCTGCTACCTAGGGACCGTGATCCGATAATTCAATGGGTCCCAGGACATGCAGGTATAGAAGGAAACGAAATGGCAGATCAAGCAGCAAAAC